AAGGAGTAGCAATCAATACAGTTAACAGCAGTTATCGAATGAGCTCTGTACACTCAGCACCTGCCAAGTGCTGTGGTCAGTGCATCCAGCTTTGACATGGAGCTGGTTTCAAGGAGCTCAGGATAGCTCAGAGACGAAATATCATCACTAAATCAAGGAGGCTGAACATGCCAAGTCTGAAAACCTGAAATTATGTTCCAAAATCTGAAAGTTTTTTAGCACACACATGATGCTCAAAAGAAATGTTCAATGGATTATTTCAGATTCCAGATTTTCAGATTTGAGATGTTCAACTGGCATAACATAAATATTCCAAAATCCAAAACAATCTGAAGCCTGAAATACTTCTGATACCAAGCATTTCAGATAAGCGACACTCAATCTATAGTACAAACATTCCTCTTCTAAATTGAAAATTTTGATTCTAGTTCAAAAACAAAGCCTCAGTGACTTATTTTAGAATTTGTCAAGTACTTAAGGGACTTTGTCATGAACTTAAGAATTTGTCATGAACTTAGAATTTGTCATGAACTTAAGCAGTTTCATGATTCAATATGATCCCTTTCAGCCCTTATCATGCTAATTATTTTATTAAGCTCCTATACATAATTTAATTATGCATTTGTTTATTTTCTGTGGCTCCTGATTTTCATATTTGTTTGTGTGTGTGTGTTTGTTCTTCTCCTTAAGTAGTTTTTTTAGTGCAAAAAATCTATTTAAAAATTATATTTTAAAATTAATTTTTTTTAGATTTTTTTTTTTTTTGAGGCAGGGTCTGACTTTGTTGCTCAGGCTGGAGTACAGTGACATAATCTTGGCTCACTGCAGCCTTGACCTCTCCAGGCTCAGGTGATCCTCCCACATCAGCCTCTCGAGTAACTGGTACAGCAGGTATGTGCCACCACACCTGGCTAATTTTTTTGTATTTTTAGGAAAGACAGTGTTTCACCATGTTTCCCAGGCTGGTCTTGAACTCCTGAGTTCAAGCAATCCACCAGCCTTGGCCTCCCAAAGTGCTGGAATTATAGGCATGAGCCACCAAACTCAGCCCTTAAGTAGATTATATGTAGGAAAGGTAAAGACTCTTTCTTCTACTACTTTTGTGAGACTATATATAGCAAAGTCATTAACAATGTGACTTTTGGAGGGAAATTGCTGTTTTCAAGACCTGGATCTCCACTACTTACTAGCTATGCGACCTAAGGGCTGGGATTAGAGTGAAGCAAGTAAGGCTCTTAATCTTGGGAGCAAAATTTAAGGGAGCACAAAAGTATTAGCAATCAAGATAAATATTTTAATACAATATTTTTAAAAATCAGAAGTTAGGGAAAACCCATGATGAACAAAATATCAAATTTGTAAATAAAGGCGGACTGTTGCTTGTATGTTTTTGAGACCTTACTACATTTATATTGTTTAAGGAACAGTATTTTCAATCAACTTGTTGTCTCTGGGCTTCATGGCCATTTTGTCCCCCAAGGGCTAGCGTATAAGGGTTGACACTGGCAAGAGAGCAGATTGAGCTATTCATGACTTTATAACTGTCTTAGTCTATTTTGTGCTGCTGCATATAACAGAATATCTGAAACTGAGAAATTTATAAACAGAAATTTATTCTCTCACAGTTCTGGAGGCTGGGAAGTCCCAAATCAAGGTGCCAGCAAGTTAGAACCTGGTCTCTGTGCTTCCAAGATGGCACCTTGAATGCTGTATTCTCCAGAGAGGACAAAAAAGTTGTGTCCTCACATGGCAGAAGAGCAGAAGAGAGAGAACTCACTACTACAAGCACTTTGTACAGAGGCATTAATGCATTTATGAGGGCAGAGCCCTTTGGATCTCCCATTAGGCTTCTCCCAACACTGTGCCATTGGGGATTAAGTTTCCATATGAGTTTTGGAAGGGACAAAAACATTCAAACCATAGCAATGAATCTCCATAATTCCTCAATTTAGCCAGGCACATAATGAATACTCATGAAATAGCAGGTTGATCTCATAGGCTGGACTAGATAATAATAAGCTTGTATTGTTGAACATCTATAAAGTGTCAGGACTAGAGTAAGTATATCATATATGTTAGCTCATTAAATCTATATTTCCCATTAAAATGTGAGAGTCTACCAAGGTGTGAATCCATAAAGTTTTAGAAATACTTATTAATAATTTTTAAAGTGAGCAATTTTTTTCTTTGAAGAACAGGAAAAGAAAAACCTGGTAGAAATCAGGCTTTCACATGCAGATTCTAGCCTCCACCAGTCTGTTTCCTGAAGACTGGGTTAGCTGAGAGCATTATTATCAAGTAGGAGTTGAGGTATGCGCTAAACACCTATCACCAAAAGTGGGTCAATATGTCATACAAAGGCCCCTTTCAACCAGCAAATTGCCCACACCCCTGTAACCTACAACTCACATGAAAGGTTCTAGCTTTCTAAAATTTCTGTTAAACTTCTCACTCTATATACTTCAGAAAGGTTTTTTTAATTTATTATTGTGATTTCATAGTTTGGTTCTTATTAGTACAAATTGTATCTGAGACATTTGTCCCCAGTTCTGGGCATCCTTGCTTTGTGATGCTGTTTCTTAAATACCTCTTACTCTGTGTGATATTTGAGCAAATTTTTAGCCTCAATTTATTTTACATAGTTGTAAGAAGTAAACAAGACTTGAAAGGACTTTGCAGAATTCTTACAATATAATAGGTACTAAATAAATTTAAACTATGACTAATAAGAATATGAAATTTTAATAGTGGTCATAACATAATATTAGTATTTTTCTTCCTCTCCCATCCCTAGGCATTTCGTTGTTTGCCTGTGCTAATTTTTTCACCTCTCCTCCCATTTGCTCTATGAAGGCAGCCACTCATATGTAAGTTCTTGCTACTGCCCCCTTTATAACTGAAGACTCTAGAATGTCTCAGGATCTCCTTATCTTGTAGGTTACAGGGCGTTCTTTGCAACTGAATCCCATCTTTTCCAATGAAGGAACAAACCTTCTTTCTGCAAAAGTCAACTGCCGAGGGGAAAAAAGCAACCTTTGGATAAAGTAGAAAGGTTTTGTATTTTTTCTCTATCAACTAAACCACCTAGTCACAATCTGCTATATAATAAAGAAAAAAGTGGTTTTTCTCACCGGTCTCCAACTTCAGCATGTAACTGCTCTTTTTCCCACAACAAAGTGACAGTTGATGGAACTGTTCCAAATGGTAGTCATATACTAAATGACCAAGGAACATTTTCAACTCTAAAATCCTGACACACACAAAAAAGCAAGAGGCTGCCAAACATACCTGTGCCAAAAGATCTGCAGGGGTTACCTGCCTTCTTAATTACTGACCTCCAGACCTGCCAGTGCTGAGTGACATGCTTTCCACTTTCTTCTCCTGTCCCCACCCAATACTTAGAGCTCCTCTGGGGGATCCTGTCTCTGTAATACAGTCTTTCTCCCTTTTTCTTGTGCTTTTCTTCTTTAAAGAAAACAGCAGCACAGATTCTTGGGTCCTTCTTTCTAAGGGTAAAAGGTATGTAAATTGCTTCAGGAAAAAGAATTCAGCAGAGTGTGATTATTTGCAGCCAATAACACAATACTATCTGCATGTAAGACTGACACAAATCCTAGCCAGATTCAGCTAAAGAACTGTGTCTTACATAAGAGTTTCTACTAAGTATGTTTCGGAATTATCTCTTGAAACTATTTAAGAAGTCTGCTTTAGTCCTTCCTCTGTTTCTGCCCATACTTGAATGGGGTTTCCATTTCATGTAGCCTGATCTGTCTCATTTTTAAAACTAGAGATTCCAATTCATAGATCTTATCATTATTTTGTAACATTTCCCCCCATTGAATGCATTCCTGTTTATCCTTCTCCATTTTAATTCCCTCCATTTCCCCTGATGCCTGTGCACAAGGATTCATCTGTTGTTTAGAGTTAGGCCAGTAGATGTCAGCCCTGGATCCCCTGAGTACCTTAAAAACAACTGTCCTAGCCATGGCCTTATCTCAGACGGACTAAATTAGAATCTCTAGAAGAGAAGCGTGTGCATCGGGGTGTTTTAAAAGCAGCTCAACCGAGAATGCTGAGTCATACTAACGGGGTCCGAAGACCTAACCCATCCTCTACCCCTGTGCCCCTCAAGAATCCCCTCCTCACTGGGCCCCTAGTGAGCATGTTTATTGACATCAATCAACACTGTGACAACCCAGGGAGCTTGTCCAAAAAAATTCCAGGCACAGACAGAATAATAGTGCTTTTCATCACAGATGGAAGGAAGGGTATGCGATAGAAAAACCAAGTACTTCAAATATACTCTGATCTCCAAAATTCAGATTAACATTTTCAGCCTACTCTTCATGCATCCTCTTTGAAGCTAACACAAACACAGAAAAAAAGAGAATAGGGTTAGGACCAGAACAAGGCTGTGAAAGGAGGCAAGGAGGTGCCCAGGGCACAAAATTTAAGGAGGTACTCACTGTTGGGTGCCAACATTTCACTAGCAAGACTTTGAGAACGTCACTTTACCTGATCCTAGTCCAGGCTCAGGGAGGAGCTGTAGAGAGTCCTTTTCTAAAGGAATTCAGGGATAACTGTAATCATTCAGTTTAAGTGAAGATTTTATGAAATCTTCACACTGATACAGTCTTCTCAGCACATCTTAGCAGTAAGATGCCAGAACTTCTTAAATGAAAATTAAAATCTGCCATTAGTTCCACACCCATTCCAGCCCCCAAATCCTACTCCAGATATGCAGTTCATAGAAGATTATGAAGGAGAAGGTCTAGTCAGAAGAACAGAATGTTTCCATTTGTTAGGAGAGGGTGACAATAGTTTTTAACTGAAAGTCAAGTGTATACTTTCTCTGGTAATATACTAAATGTCTCTTAATTTCCATCCTTCATTCTTCCTCTCTACTTTACAAAAAATACATGAGTCGATGCTTGTGAAATGCCTAGTTCAGAGCTGGCACAGTTGAGGGCTCAATAACTGGTAACGATTTTTCTCACCAGGAGGATAATGGAACTCAGCAAACACTTATCTCCCAAGATCACCTCATCAGCAGTTCCACATTACTTAAAGATAGAGTCAAGGTTGGTACAGACTACAGACTCCACCTCTCTCCAGTCCAAATCTTCGATGATGGGCGGAAGTTCTCTTGCCACATTAGAGTCGGTCCTGACAAAATCTTGAGGAGCTCCACCACAATCAAGGTTTTTGGTAAGGGCTGTTGTTCTACAGACTCCCTGACACCCTCCTGTCTCTTGCCCTGCTCTTCCCTGAAGAGGAAGCACTCTATTATGCTGCAGAGCCGCCACACGTGGGTAACAATGCTGGAGTCTGTTTCCCTGGATACTTGTCATTCTTGTTGGAGATGAGAATGATGGTAGAATGCTAAAGAATAATGATTCCATTAACAGAATAAAATCACACAGTAAGCAATAATTTTCTGTATTGGTTCATTTTCTGTTGCTTACAATGGAATACCTGAAACTAAGTAATTTATAAAGAAAAGGAATTTGTTACTTACAGTTATGGAGGCTAAATCCAAGGTCAAGGGGATGCATCTGGTGAGAACCTTCTTGCTGATGGGGGGACTAACTGAAGAATCCCAAGGTGACACAGGGTATCACATGGCAAGGGGACAGAGTTTGCTAATGTGCTAACTCAGGTCTCTCTTCCTCTTCTTATAAGGCCACCAGTTGCCCTCCCATCATAACTCATGACTCCAATAACCCTTTAATCCATAAATGGATTAATCTTATTCATAAGGACAGAGACCTGATGATTCAGTCACCCATGAAAGACCCCAGCTGTCAATACTGCCACACTGGAGATTAAATTTCAACATAAATTTTGGAGTGGACATTCAAACCATAGCAGACAGATCAATTTCCTGGTGACCACTATCTTATTTAAAACTTTAATGTTTCTCAGAATACTGGAAGTCTCTTTAATTGTAGCTGCCAAAGTCTAATTGCTTAGTTGTCTAATTGTCTTAGTTGCTTGCTTGAGCAAGGTGGAGTAAGGTCAGTGAGAAAAGGAAGATGATAAATATAGCCCCAGGGAAACTGCAGAAGTTCCTCCTCCCCTGCTATCCTGCCAAGGCCAGCTGGGGTGAGACAGTCAGGTCCAGCCCTTCGGGCAAAGGAGCCTTCAGGAAAGGCCTTCTGAACCTGCACTGTCGGGATTGTGGAGCTGAGCTGTGAAATCCACTGCGGCCTCACTCAAAATGCAGAGTATTTGCAGGGTGCAAATTTAAGGAAGAAAGGTTAGAATTCTATTTTCCCCAGTGGTACAAGAAAGTACCACTAATTAATAAACACCGTTAATAAAGAGAAGCCCCTGCCTTTGGATGTTTTTTCATTTTTTGTGACAAAGATCTGTGTCTTTTGGAAAGTCAATTTTAAAGAAGGCAAAGAGAAAAGCAGTGAGATGGATAGGCAATTAATTATTTTTGAAAATGAGATAAACAAAGGGAAAACAACTTCACAAACCTATGGGCACAGGCTGCTAGATTGTTCCTCAATTCTCTAAAGGGCAGAGCAAGCAAAAAAAAAAATTATTTGGAATTGTATTGCCTTATTATTGGCAGTCATACAATGTAGTATTTTGAAGAAAACGCAAAATTGCCTCCCCCTTCCCTCCTCTGTCCTCCCCTTTCCTCTGCATCCTCCCTCTTCTCTTTCTCTTCATCTCTCCTCAGGGATGGACTAGGCAATAATCATCCCTGATGACCAGGTTCCTTACGGAGCCTAAACAGTGTCCTGTGAAGAGTTGGAAACAAGCTGTTCATCTCTTTTGTTATCACCATTTGTTTATTTACCAGGGTGTGACTGTCTTAGTGCAAACACGAAACTGCCTCCTCTGGTCTATTGGCAAACCAATGAAGGCAGCCATCCTCAGTGTGGAAAGAAATATCAGCTGTAATTTAGGCAAGCTGTGTCCCCTGTTGATCAAGATTTTTTGCACCATAACTTGATCTAATTGCCTTGTCAGCATCTATGCTGTGTCCTATATCTCTTTGCTGCATTAAAATACCTCTACTTTGATCTTAAATGTTTTTCACTCTTTTATATGTCACTTTTATCACCCTATTGGATTCTACATATCTCTGTCTCTACATTTCTCTTGTTTCTTCTTTGAAGTCCTTTCAGTGGATGCTTTAAAATATGAAGCTCTGCCTGCTTGTTCAGAAAATTACATTTTTCCTGCTTCCTGGCTTTTGCATTTAGTAAATTGGCTGGGTGGGTTGTGTTTGGGTGGAGTCTTATCCAGTCCTTAACCTATTTTGAGGTGTTACCCAAGTACATATTGTGGCCCTGACCACATATCTTATCAGAACCTACTTTACATCCCTTGGTGATTCCTCATATAGAATAAGTCTCCCCAAAACACCCATGAAAACCTTGAAATCAACACCCAAATGTATCCCAGACTTATTCAACATGCCCTGAACCCAGCATATTTCCTCTTCCCAAACAGTGCTCATTACTCAACTCTTCATTCTCTAACAGACCAGAGACAAGAGGGGCTACTCCAGCAATTTTGCCACTTCCTGCATCTCCTTCACTGGTCTCCTTTGTTTTTCCTTTCCTTGGCAGGGAGTCACCTGCCCATCACAGGGTTGTTCTGTTCCACTCCTAAATTCCAAATCTGATTGTCCTCAACCTCAAAGAAAATCTTTCTCACCCTGTCACCTCTGCAAATTTTAGTAGTTGTTCTTTCACGGCTTTTATTCTGCTGGTATTTGTTAACAGGAGGTAAGAGATACCACTCCACCCATTAGTGTTTCAGGTTGTATCTTGGTTTTGGGTTCCCCTGAAATAAAACATTGAGATAAGGATTGGGATTAATTTATTTGAAAGACCATCCTTGGAAACATCAGAAAAGAAGTGAGAAAGTGAGTCAGGGAAGGCAAGGGAAGGAAGATAATAAAATGTACAAGATTACATCAGTTACCACCATAGGTTTAGAACTCATCTCACTGGGAGACAGCATAGAACACACATCAGAGTTATCCCACATGAAGGGCAAGAAAGCTGGGGTATTTATCTACCATCTCTCCATCTGTTATCACTATTTACTCTCTGGGACTCCCAGTTTTTACTACCTGTGGACTAAGTGTACTCCCATAATCTCAATAAATCGTTATGCAAAGAGTCATCTAGTCATCAAAGAGTTATCCCAGTAAGAGGTCTTCAGTGTGCCGAGGTAAATGGCAAGTGGCTGTAGCAGGCACTGACAACATCTGTGACTGGAGGTTTAGCATTCTTTCCACTGAGTTACAGAACGCTGTGTTTGCTATGCTCAAGAATGTACTTGAAGCCACCTCTGTTCAACATGATGTACTAATGTCTAGTTTGTGCTGGGCACTGTTAAGTGCTGGAGATGAAGAAATTGATAAAATACTGGCTTTGAGGCACTTAAAATCTAGTAAAACAACAAAATCACTGAAATATTCCCTGATATTTCCTAGTACCAAGCAACCAAACAAGAGCCAAATGTTTCTCTGCTCCACTTCAGGGATCTTTATAACGAGAATTTATTTGTAAGCTGCTTTAGTCCATTTTCATGCTGCTGATAAAGACATACCCAAAACTGGGAAGAAAAAGAGATTTAATTAGACTTACAGTTTCACATGGCTGTGGAGCCCTCAGAATCATGGCGGGAGGTGAAAGGCACTTCTTCCTGGCTTTTGCATTTAGTAAATTGGCTGGAAGGGTTGTGTTTGGGTGGAGTCTTATCCAGTCCTTAACCTACTTTGAGGTCTTACCCAAGTATATATTGTGGCCCTGACCACATATCTTATCAGAACTTACTTTACATCCATTGATGATTCCTCATATAGAATAAGTCTCCTCAAAACACCCATGAAAACTTTGAAATAAACACCCAAATGTATCACAGACCTATTCCACATGCCCTAAACCCAGCATATTTCTTCCCAGCAACAGAAAAATGAGGAGAATCAAAAGCAGAAATGCCTGTTAAACCCATTAGATCTCGTGAGACTTACTCACTGTCATGAGAATACCATGGGAAAGACCGGCCCTCATGATTCAGTTACCTCCCATCAGGTCCCTTCCACAACACGTTGGAATTCTGGGAGACACAATTCAAGTTGAGATTTGGGTAGGGACACAGTCAAGCCATGTAATTTCACCCCTGACCCATCCCAAATCTCATGTCCTCACATTTCAAAATCAATCATGTCTTCCCAACAGTCCCCCAAATTCTCAACCCATTTCAGCATTAACCCAAAAGTCCACGTCCAAAATCCCATCTGAGACAAGGCAAGTCCCTTCTGCCTATGATCCTGTAAAATCAAAAGCAAGTTAGTTTCTTTCTAGATATAATGAGGGTACAAGCATTGGGTAAATACAACGATTCTAAATGGGAGAAATTGGCCAAAACAAAGGGGCTACAGGCCCCATGCAAGTCCAAAATCCAGCAGGGCAGTCAACTCTTAAAGTTCCAGAATGATCTCCTTTGACTCTATGTCTTGCATTCAGGTCACACAGATGCAAGAGGTAGGTTCCCATGATCTTAGGCAGTTCCATCCCTGTGGCTTTACAGGGTACAGCCTCCCTCCTGGCTGCTTTCATGGGCTAGTGTTGAGTGTCTGCAGCTTTTTCAGGAGCACAGTGCAATCTGTTGGTGGACCTACCATACTGGGGTCTGGAGGATGGTGGCCCTCTTCTCACAGGTCCACTAGTCAGTGCTCCATTAGGGACTCTGTGTGGGGGCTTTGACCCCCCCATTTCCCTTCTGCACTGCCCTAACAGATGTTCTTCATGAGGGCCCCACCCTTGTAGCAAACTTTTGCTGGGTATTCAGACATTTCCATAAATCTTCTGAAATCCAGGCGGAGGTTCCCAAACCTCAGTTCTTGACTTCTCTGCACCCACAGGCTCAACACCACATGGAAGCTGCCAAGGCTTGGGGCTTCCACACTTTTTGAAGCAACAGCTAAAGCTGCACATTGGCCCCTTTCAACCATAGCTGGAGTGGCTGGGACACAGGGCACCAAGTCTCGAGGCTCCACACAGCAAGGGGATCCTGGACCCAGCCCAGGAAACCATTTTTTCCTCTTGGGTCTCTGGGCCTGTGATGGGAGGGGCTGCTGTGAAGGTCTCTGACATAGCCTGGAGACATTTTTCCCATGGTCGCGGAGATTAACATTAGGCTCCTTCCTACTTATGCAAATTTCTGCAGCCAGCTTGAATTTCTCCCCAGAAAATGGGTTTCTCTTTTCTATCCCGTAGTCAGGCTGCAAATTTTCCAAACTTTTATGCTCTGCTTCCATTATAAAGCTGAATGCCTTTAACAGCACCCAAGACACCTCTTGAATGCTTTGCTGCTTAGAAATTTCTTCTGCCAGACACCCTAAATCATCTCTCTTAAGTTCAAAGTTCCGCAAATCTCTAGGCCAGGGGCAAAATGCTGCTAGTCTCTTTGCTAAAATATATCAAGTCACCTTTGCTCCAGTTCCCAACAAGTTCCTCATCTCTATCTGAGACCACCTCAGCCTCGACCTTATTGTTCATATCAACATCAGCATTTTTGTCAAAGTGATACAACAAATCTCTAGGAGGTTCCAAACTTTACAACATTTTCTTGTCTTCTTCTGAGCCCTCCAAACTGTTTCAACCTCTGCCTGTTACCCAGTGCCGAAGTCACATCCACATTTTTGGGTATCTTTTCAGCAACACTCCACTGTGGTGGTACTAATTTACTGTATTAGTCTGTTTTCACACTGCTGATAAAGACATACCCAAGACTGGGAAGAAAAAGAGGTTTAATTGGACTTACAGTTCCACATGACCGCAGAGGCCTCAGAATTGTGGTGGGAGGTGAAAGGCACTTCTTACACGGCAATGGGAAGAGAAAAATGAGGAGAAGCAAAGGTGGAAACCCCTGATAGACCCATCAGATCTCATGAAACTTATTCACTATCACGAGAATAGCATAGGAAAGACCAGCCCCCATGATTCAATTACCTCTCGCCAGGTCCCTTCCACAACACATGGGAATTCTGGGAGATACAATTCAAGTTGAGATTTGAGTGGGGACACAGTCCAACCATATCATAAGCCTTTGTGCATGTAGAACATTCCTCTTTTCTCTCCCTCCCCACCACCCATCCTCTGCTTGTACTACCAGTCTTCCACATTCCCAATTTTACTTAACTCATCGCTGGTAACCACATCACATCTTCCAAAAGCCTCCTCCTATCCTCCAAGGTTAGGTTAAAAAATTTATTTAAAAGCTGTCTTCAAATACTACATGTCCTTAATCATTGTACTTATCTCAGTGTATTATAACTTCCAGTTTATCTGTATTCCCAAGAAATTGCAGATTTCTTAAAAACAGTGAATACTATTTGTCCACCTTTGTTTCCTAGGCATCTAGCATACTGCCAGGTACACAGCAGGCCTGGCAATATTATATTAATAAATATTAATTTATAAATATTAATAAATAAATATTAATATTTGATGAATGAAGATTCTCATAGACACACACACACATACACACACTAGTGGCCAGGTAGGATGACATTTGGTGCCGCTAACTATGTTTTATTTGCCTTTAAGCTAAACCGGAAATCCCCATGATTGTGGAAAATAACTCCACGGATGTCTTGGTAGAGGTGAGTCACATAAAAGCCTTTGAAAATCTACAGCATTACATGTAAGGTGTGTCAGGTTGCATAGTTGCCAGGAATGTTCTCTCAAAGAACTTTACTCCTTGGCCCTTGACCAATTAACTGCTAATAGGGATGAAGGGAAGCTGAGTTGTTTCTGGAAAGTGAATGGGAATTTTCATTTTTAGACTTAGTGCTCTCAGAATGATCTGCACTTTTAGTCCTTAAATTTCTCAGGAAAAAAAATAGTTACAATTGTTTAAATTTCTCTTTAATAAAAATTGAGGTGGATAGTGAGGACAAAGTAGGGCAGAAAGCTGTGTGAATGCTGGTGTAAGAATGAAGTTTTGGCTCAGCTGATGTTTGATTTGTTCTATTCCATTTCCTTTACCTGGTTTCCCATTGTTTTTATTTCAAAGTGATGAGAGAAAATATGCCCTCCTCTACTCCTGCAGAACCCTGGCTATGTCTTTGGTGGTAAAGAGGAAGGGTAGGAGAAACAAGAAAATTGAATAGGGACCTCTGACTTAACTTCTTCTGGGTGGTAGTTACCAACCTCTAGTCACTAGGATCTGGACTCAATTTCTCGCTCTTCCTCTTGTGAACTGTGACCTTGGGCAAATTACTTCATGTCTTTGCAGTCAGTTTCCCCATCTATATGAAGTGAATAATAATACTATCTTCACATAGCAGCTGTTTTAAAAAATTAAATAACATATGAAAAAGTCTGAGTAGAGTGTGGCATATATTAAGTGTTTAATCAGCATTATTGTTCTTGTTTTTGTTGTTATTACTATTATCTGTGTCAATCAACTGTCCTGTGGCCTTATGACTTCAGCCTAGCTTTTAAAAACCCTATATAAAAAATATTCTCATTAATTCTCTAACATTTTCTATTACATGGGGCGAGAGAAAATTATACTCATATTCTAGTTTATCCTCGCACCAATGACATTAACTTACAATCTCTGGTCTCACTGAATATCAGTCATTTAATTTGATAGTTGCATACAAATCATAGCTTAGATTCTTTGAGATGGTTTTGCAGTGACTATATATATATTTTTTCCAAGTATTTGTGTCTTTTGCCAGTTTCATATATTGATCTCTCAGATAACTGCTTGTATTAGTCCATTTTCATGCTGCCAATAAAGACATACCCAAGACTGGGTAAAATATACAGGGAAAAGAGTTTAATTAGACGTACAGTTGCACATAGCTGGGGAAACCTCACAATCATGGCAGAAGACAAGGAGGAGCATGTCATGTCTTACATAGATGGCAGCAGGCAAAAAGACAATATGCAGGAAAACTCCCCCTTATAATAACTATCAGATCTCCTGAGACTTACTCACTATCACGAGAACAGCACAGGAAAGCCCCCATGCTTCAATTACCTCCCACCAAGTCCCTCCCACAACACATGGGAATTTGAGATGAGATTTGGATAGTGACACAGCCAAACCATATCAGTCCACCCCTGACTCTCCCAAATCTCATATCCTCACATTTCAAAATCAATCATTCCTTCTCAACAGTCCCCCAAAGTCTTAACTCATTTCAGCATTAACTCAAAAATCCAGAGTCCAAAGTCTCATCCGAGACAAGGCAAGTCCCTTCTGCCTATGAACCTGTAAAATCAAAAGCATGTTAGTTACATCCTTGATACAGTAGGGGTACAGGTATTGGATAAATACAGCCATTCCAAATGGAAGACATTGGCCAAAACAAGTCTGATATCCAGCAGGACAGTGAAATCTTAAAGCTCCAAAATGATCTCCATTGACTCCTTGGCTCATATCCAGGTCATGTAGATGCAAGAAGTGGGTTCCCATAGTCTTAGGCAGCTCAAACCCTGTGGTTTTGCAGGGTATGGCTCCCCTCCTGGCTGTTTTCATGGGCTGGCATTGAGTGTCTGCAGCTTTTCCAGGCACATGGTGTAAGCTGTTGGTGGATCTACCATTCTGTGGTCTGAAGGATGGTGGTCCTCTTCTCACATCTCCACTACATGGTGCCCCATTAAGGACACAAGCTCTGCTCCTGTGACTTTGCAGGATATAGCCTCCCTCCTGGCTGTTTTCATGGGCTGGTGATGAGTGTCTAAAGCTTTTCCAGGCACACAGTGTAAGCTGTCATTGGATCTACCATTCTGGGGCCTGAAGGATGGTGGCCCTCTTCTCACAGCTCCAGTAGGCAGTAGTCTAGTGGGGACTATATGTGGGGACCCCAACCCCACATCTTCCTTTTGCACTGCCCTAGCAGGGGTTCTCCATGAGGGCCCCGCCCCTGCAGCAAACTTTTGCCTGGGCATCCAGGCACTTCCATACATCTTCTGAAATCTAGGCAGGGGTCCCCAAACCTCAGATCTTGACTTCTGTGCACCTACAAGCTCAATACCATATGGAAGCTTCCAAGACTTGAGACTTCCACCCTCTGAAGCAACAACCCAAGTTGTACCTTGGCTCCTTTCAGTTATGACTGGAGTGGCTGGGACACAGGGCACTGAGTCCCTAGACTGTGCACAACATGGGGATCCTGGGCATCACCCACAAAACCATTTTTTCCTCCTAAACATTCAGGCCTGTGATGGAGGGGTTGCTGCAAAAGTCTCCGACATGCCCTGGAAACATTTTCCCCATTGTCTTGATGATTAACATTCAGCTCCTCATTGCTTATGCAAATTTCTGCAGCCAGCTTGAATTTCTCCCCAGAAAATGGGATTTTCTTTTCTATCACATTGTCAGGCTGCAAATTTTCCAAACTTTTATTCTCTGTTTCTCTTTTGAAACTGAATGCCTTTAACAGCGCCCAAGTTACCACTTGAGTGCTTTGCTGCCTAGAAATTTTTTCTGCCAGATATCCTAAATCATCTATCTTAAGTTCAAAGTTCCACAGATCTCTAGGGTAGGGGCAAAATGCCACCAGTCTCTTTGCTAAAATATAATAAGAGTCGCCTTTGCTCCAGTTATCAACAAGTTCCTCATCTCCATCTGAGACCACCTCAGCCTGGACCTTATTGTTCATATTACTATCAGCATTTTTGTTAAAGTCATTCAACAAGTCTCTACAAAGTTCCAAACTTTCCCATATATTCCTGTCTTCTTCTGAACCCACTAAATTGTTCCACTCTCTGCCTGTTACCCAGTTCCAAAGTTGCATCCATATTTTTGGGTATTTTTTCAGCAGCGCCCCACTCTGCTGATACCAATTTATTGTATTAGTCCATTTTCATACTGCTGATAAAGACATACCCAAGACTGGGTAATTTATACAGGAAAAAGGGTTTCATTGGACTTATAGTTCCATGTGGCTGGGGAAGCCTCACAATCATGGCCAAAGGCAAGGTGGAGCACATGACATCTCACATGGATGGCAGAAGGCAAAAAGAGAATGTGCAAGAAAACTGCCCCTTATAATAACCATCAGATCTCATGAGACTTATTCACAGTCACGAAAACAGCATGGGAAAGACCTGCCCCCACATGATTCAATTACTTCTCACTGAGTCCCTCCCACAACACATGGGAGTTCAAGATGAGATTTGCGTGGGGACACAGCCAAACCATATCACTGCTATTATAATCCTGATTATACAGCAGAAGATTTAATTGCTTAATTCATTTTTGTTGTGTCATAACTTAATTTCTAAGTTTATTAGTGAACTTCATTTCAATAGTTTACATTTCAAAAATAAACTAATCATACAGCTTTTGGTAGGTGTTTTTGTTTCTTATAAGGATCTCTAATAGATTCTTGGTACCAGAGTTTACATGTAATATGGGCACAATCCAGATATAGGACCATAAATTGCATCCAAGAATCCCAGTTTACAAAAAAAAAAGAACTTTGCCTATGTACCATAAAATTTCCTCTTCTCTACCCTTGCTTCACTGCTGACTGGAAAAAAAAAAAAAAAAAACAGAGAGTTTTCCTTCCTAGAAAATTAGTGAATAATCTTTCTCCAATCACACATAACCAGCTACAGGACATGGCTTGTCTTTGGATCTTTTCAGATCTTGCCAAGCATTAGTAACTCCTCACTCTAATATTCTTACAATCCCTGCTGTATTTTTAATAATTTATTAACTCTTCAAAATCCCTTCACAGACTTTTATCTTGTGCTGCTCCCAATGAGCCTCTGAAATAGATGGAGCATCTGTCATTTTACAGATGAGAAATTGGGGCCTGGAAAGTCTTAACAACTGGCTGAGTCACTAATAAGGGGCAGAGCTGGGATGCATATTTAGTGTGCCTGTATCCAGGCAGAATAGTATTATTATGATAAAAGGATATCATGCTTCGGGGTCAGATAGCACAAGTGTCAAATCCTAATTCAACTACTTAGCTGGTTACATACCCTCATCAACTAGTGAACCTCCAGAAGCCTCAGCTAACACACATCTAAAACTGAGATAATAACAAATAGTTCAGAGGGTTCTTAGGAAGATTAAATTTATGCTCTAATGAAGTTCATGGCACATAGTAGATATTTCAGGAATATTTCTTCCCTACCCACTATTTATCATTTATGCACTCTCTTACATTCATAAATCAGCTATGTGACTGATTCTAGCAGATACTGTGGAATAATTTTTTTTAAACCCAGAATATAGACTGTGGGATCTAATAGAACCAGGTTTGAGTTCTCTTCCAGCACTTATTAACTCTGGCCCCTACGAGCTCAGTTCCTTAACTTCCTCAACAGTAAGTGAGGGCAATGGTTCCAATCCCACAAGGGTGATATAAGGATGAAGTGAGAGAAGGTATGCAAAATACTTACCATCCAGCAACCACAAGTTTTTGGTCTTGGCAGTTTCCTGCCCCTCCTTCATTCCTTAGAAATTCTTGAAGTCAACACGCACGCACTGGCTCTGCTACCTGTTCACTACACTAGCAGCCCGCAGTGTGGAAATACTCTGGGGACTTGATCAGTTGTGAGCTGTGTCTTCCTGTGTTTTTAAACTTACAAAGTTTATGGCTAATTTTAGTATTTCTGTAAAATACAA